GATCTCCCAATTTTTTTCTTAAAACTTGGAAATATGCTAATAAATATATAATTTTATGGGGCAATAATACTCCCAAATGTTGTTTCGTGAAAATAAGACTATTTTCGTAAAATTTGATCAAACAGTGTTTTTTTTTTCTCCAAAATTATCAACAAATGTGGCGATTTTTTCTTATTGGTACCCGAAGCCAGCTGTGCTGGTACTATCATTTAATCTCGTAAAACTTGGAAATATGAGAATGATGTTATGTCGTGAAAATAGGACCAGTTTCGTAAAATTTGATCCAACAGTTATTTCTGAAAATATCAACAAAGGTGACTATTATTTTGTTATTTATACACACAGCCAGCTATGCTAATTTTATCAATCTGTTTCGTCAAAACTAGAAATTTAGAAATAAATATGTCAAATTATGGGGATATATATATTACTCCCAATTTTGTTTTTTCTTTTCTTTTTTTTTTTTTTTTGCAAACTGGCTAAATATTGAAATTGTTCATGGACAAATTTCCTTAAATCAGTCCTTCATTTTTGTGCACTATGAAATTTATAGCCTGCATTTTGTTAGGGAATTTATTCATTTTTCAATCTGTTTATGGCAAAGTTGTTTATTTTCTCCTATTCTGAAGTCATTGTTTTTCTTCTTTTTAGGTTGCCAAAGATGAACGAATGCAGTAAATTTACAAAAGGAGTAAAATTTTTCTAGTAAAGGAAAACTTCTGCTGGTCGTAATATTATGAATGAGCTTCATGCATCTGTTGTCGTTTCAGACTACGCTTCTCATTCAAAACATGAACTTAATTCATTTTTAAATTAAAATCGTATTGAGGACATTTCAATGGTGACTGCAAAAGATATATATACATATATATATATTTGATAATAAAAGATTTTATTTACACCAAGGATTTGTATATGTATACACATAAACAATCTTACTTTTAAACTGCCATCTCTTTACCCCAGAATAAAAAGACAAAAACCACTACAAATGATTAAAAGACAAAAACCACTACAAATGATCGTCTCATGGAAATAAGGTTATAAAATTCTTTTTAAATAGAGTCTTCCATGTTGCTTTGATGTATGACCTCAACTCCCACTTCAATGTTGTGTTTTTTTATAGATTTTTTGTTGCTTCGAGGACACACATATCCATCTATGTATGCAGTATTGTCAATTGTTTTTGTTGGTGGGTCTCTCGCTTATGTTTTCGTCCTTTTCACTATCAATAAAGAGTTCGTTGTCAGTTTATTCAACTAGGAGTATATCTAAGTCGTAACTATTAAGATTGTCATCCCACGAAATAAAATCGGAATTTTCCATATTGCGTGCACATGAATGAAGCTTTATTCAAATGAGAAATTAATTGTAATTTTCTTAAATATTAATTCTCAATACACACTTCGAACATGAAGAAACAATAAATTTACCGACAATCATTTAAAAAACAACTCAATGCAAGCCTATGATAAAACTGTCAAACAACACTTAGAAATCAAACATTTAACGACAATCCTACAGAAAAAACTCAATGCAAGCCCAATAAATGATGAATATAAAAATAAATAGAATTTTAATAATTTATAAATATCAAGAATAAAAAACAAAGCCTATCATGATTAACAATTAATAAACAAATAAATTAAGTTTTTTTCCACATTAATTAATTTTACATTTTGTGCATTGTATTTTTGGAAAGAGTGTGGACACCTCGGGTGTAACAACTTCTTGTTTACAAGGTGTCAATTAGAACTCATTATTTATAACATGTTCGTGATTTACCTGGTCATCGAATAATTCAAACCTAATATACATGTCACACTGTGAAATTATGTCTCCGAGACAGGTGTATATTCAATAGAAACCCATTATGTAACTATCAAATAAAATGAACTCTGACACAATTTATCAAGTGTTAATTATTTAATATCAGGGTTTTTTTTTGATACAATATCAAATTATGTCTCTTTTTCAATAATACAAATCTAAAATCAAAATTACATTAAAATAAATAATTATATATGTACTCAAATTATTTAATTAATTATGATAAATTTTACACTGAAACAGTTTATGTTATGCTTAAACATTCGTCCTTACTTCGAGTACTTTTAATACTTTTATTAATGACTTTATTACCTAAGGAGATCTCGCGAGGTTTAGCTAGTGGCCGCGTGTTATTACGGGATTTCGCCGAGTTGCGAATCTCTTGTATTATATGTCTCTGGTGTCTTAAAAGACTTTTGTTATCTATTCTGACATCGGACTCTGACTTCTTTTAAATTGAGTTTTACTGTACGTATTGCTGTGTTTTGTTTATCAAGTTCTACATAGGCTAGAGGTATAGAGGGAGGGTTGAAATCTCATAAACATATAAATAAAAGCTACAGAAGGCAATATCATAAATATGACAAGATGTACATTTTTTTACTGTCAATTTTAGATTTTATTTGATATGGGTAGGTCACATGTATTCGACATTGACATTGTATAAGCCAGATGTATACTCCATGCTGAATTTTATTTGATGTATGTAACACGTAAACTCATTAACACCTGTGGATTAAATTGTAATATTTTCCTGTCCTCTAGGAACATAAAACTTACATAATTCACTACCCTTAACTAGACATAGATATCAGTAAATAAAACCGCAGACTTTCTCCTTAAAGTTTAGTGGTTTGTACATATATTGAAGGTGTGCATGTGGTCAGGGTTTAATATTTAACTGCAAAAAATAAAAAAGGGGTCTCCCAACAATCTCTTTTGCATGGATTACTATATTTTCAATATAATACTTCAATGATAAGGTAAAATAGTAACATATGGTATTGAATAGTGATACCGCACCGGAAAGGATTTGCCGTGGCACCATGGGACGCTTAAACAATATACTATGTAAATATTGACACAATCGTGTTTATATGTTAGCTGAGATCGATAATTATGGAGCTTTTCTTAAAGAGGACCTCGATGTTTTTCGTCATTTGTATTATTAAACGACATTTTATGGATATACTAAACAAGGATTTGTATAGTACTATACAAATCCTTGTACTAAACAATAAGATTAATGTATGAAGGAGAACATAAAGATAGCATATCCTAACAATGATTTTGATGCTATGATATCTTACTGTATACATTCAAAATACTTGCATTTACTTCTCTGATCATTTCTTATAATGATAAGAATAATATTCCCTATACCTTTTCATTATACAAAACTTGTATAAAACTTTGTATGTTTTGAATAACATTAAAAATTGCACGTTGTCATCTTTTCTATTTCAATTTAGTTTTTCAGATTTCGTAGACATTTTTTTTCAATAATACAATCATGCAATTGTGTATTCAAATATTTGATAATAATAATATAATTACTCAAATCAAAATAAGATTAATTAGACAGAGCCATTAACAAAAAAACGAAAAAAAACCCAACACTTTTTGCATATTTTTCTTCAAGATGTCAACAAAACCACACTACTTTTAAAATTTTGATGTTTAAAGAACTCTTTGGTATAATAGAAATTAATATATTGTTTAAAACCTAACTAGATATTTAAAATGATGGATGTAATTAGAAAAGAAGTTCACATCATAAAAATGAGAATTCAACTAAATAACAAGACCAATTTGTCTTTGACTACGGTCAATCTTAGTTGAATGAATATTAGGGACAACAGTAAACATTATTTTAAAATGACGATTCTTATACCATTTGATAGGAAAATTATTTGCCAATACTGTATAATTTGTTAATTTGATTTACAATAAAAAATGAATTTAACATGATTTTTTATAAAATATGTATACCTCGTAATTTAACATATCTCAACCAAAAGAGAACCCGACGTTCAACATGATAGGGACACCAGTAAATATCAAGATAAAGTGGATTTTATTACACCATTTCAAAGCTAAAAAATTGTTGAGATCTCTATGATTTATTAATTTTATATGAGATTTATAAAATAGACATAGTATTCATTTATTTAGCTAGTGGTCATAATTCCCCATAGACAATAACGTTAAAAAAATTTCAATGATTACGGTTCTCTGTGTAGTAGCTGATAAAGCCATCCAGCTGAGCTGTCCGCAATTCTTGTGTATGGTCTACGGTGCTGCCCTGGATCCCCGACTAGGGTGCTACCCTGGACCAGCTAGGGACTTTGAGCGGTCCATAGCCTTCTCCCTTGCCGAATAACTATAAAGTTCACAAGTATTCACAAAATAGGAGTTTGGGCGTGAATGTGATGTGAATTTCATAAGCATGGCATACCGGGAAAATGCCCGAAAAAAAGTTATCATTTTCTGCATAAAATGGACCAAAAAAAATTTTCGCCTATCTTCGCTCGGCGATAGTTATGATTGCACTTTATGTAAGTCCAGCTACGCCCCTGTCGTCGTTTGCAATTGCTATTTTAGTAGGGCAATGATTACATTAAATGATAATGTTGCGTTTATGTCAATTCATTTTGTTATTTTTACTTTTTACCATAACGTGTTCTTGTGATGATTAAAAGTTAATAGCGTCCTTGTTAAAACGGAACAAGCATTGAAAAGACCAAGTTTTCAGTGTTAACAGGGGAGGTAATATTTTGTCCCACTGGAGATAAAAAAAAAAAGAAATATGATTGCTAATGAGACAGCTATCAACAAGAGTTTAAATGACGTGGATGTAAGCAATTATAGGTCATCGTACGGCCTTCAACAATGCCGAGAAAATGCCACAAAGACCGCTATAAAAGACATGAAAAATATATGATACAAATTAATGATTCAAACGAGAAATGTGAACATATTTTCAAGTCAAATAAAGAATTTATTCAAGTTATATTTCAGAAAATAAAATAGATAAGTGCATTATTTTTTCGATTTTTAGTTATAGTTAAACGAACCAAATTTGTATGCAAAAATAGTAGTTTTTTGTACGTTGTGGTGCATTACGGTTTAGAAATGATTTCAAATTTTAGTAAAACTTTTACCTGTTCCTAAACCAAACACTCTTGTTGGTGCTTCAGTCTGCAGAATTACATATTTCAGACGAAAACACAGCTGAAGAGGGTATTTTTTTATTGACAAGGGTGTGGGGACCGGGGTCGCCCCGATATTACGACACCCCATTAGTCCGACTACCCCGTTGGTCCGACACCCCATTAGTCCGACACCCCACTGGTCCGACACTCCACTAGTCCGACAAAGGTAAATAACTGCCGTAGAAAATCTGATAGAGATGCAGAGTAGCGAACATTTTGTCAAACTAAATATACTTTTTGAAGTTTTGTTGAATAACTAACATGGCGATACGCAACTTTGTGTTTCTCTCAAAGGAGGGAAATAAGAAAGTTAAGGCTCCAATTAGGCTTTACTGAATAAACGATTGTATGTGAGATGCTTGGTTCGGTGTATAGAATTATTTTGAGAAGACCATTTAAGTTTAGTTTGTCTTTATGCAACAATGTTTGTACTTATTGAAGAGTGAATTATTTAAAGTTAATACATTGAACTCTTAAATAAAAAATACAGACACTCCTTCGTAGAATCGTTGTTGACTTGGTATTTGAACTACTCTTTCTTATGAGTATCTATCACAGAAACAGATAATATCATGCCACCTGTCTGGTATTACTATTCTCAGATCTGCAGTGACATCACAACATGTAACTGACCAATCAATGATTAGCATTTGTGTTCTGTAAACAATGTTGAGAGGTGATGCCAATAAGAATCCTCTAGATTTTCCATAGACTTCAATGCAAATTAATTTAATTGATATATATCGACACCAGTTGAATATAGTAATTTTACTCTTTTAATATTGTTAAAGACACTATATAATATCTCCATTTTGATTTTTATCATACTATATCCTCTGGTTAAAAAATAATCGGCAATATAAATAATCAGTAATCACCTTCAAATAGATGAAAAATCTAGAGGATTCCTATTGGCATCACCCCTTGAAAAATTTAAATGCCAGGATGTCCGGATCTGAGAATTAAAGAAGTACCATGGCTATGTGCATATAAAGAAATCGAGATCCTTGCAAGTTTTGGTAAACTAATACAAATTGTGTTCTATATGGGAACACATTCTACTAAAAAAAGAAATGTCATCAGCAGTTTCCAACCATTATTATTTCGATTTATCTATACAGTACACGAACTTAATTATCGAAAACCGAGAGCTATCGAATTGTTAATTGATAATACACTCGAACATTGACGAATTTAAGTTTATAACCTAGCATTGGCAAGTTTAAGTTTATAACATCGATAGCGAAATTGTTCAATCGGTAATAATTTTTTTATACAAAAAAGACTTTATTAAGGTTGAAAATTCGATATAAACATGATAAATGGATAAAATGTGCTGTCAGAAAGAACATGAACTGAATAGTCATGAAACATTTGCCACTGGACATTAGACCAAAAAATAACTACCAATCATGTATACAAACCGCCATGTCCATGAATATTTACATAAGCGATAATATTTGTAATTGCATAAAACAAGAAACTTTTTTTTCTGTAATTATATTTTAGTTATTTTCATTTGTGTTCTTTGTTGCATCTTTAAAAACACAACTTATCGGTTGTCTTTTAAACAACACAGTCACATGCGACATGAAAATAAATCTAGCAACAAACACCACTTCTCTTGACATTGACACTGTCACAGGAATGTACTTGTTTTCATTATTTCTTTTTACCAGCACATTTTTTGCTTACAGAGAACGCACCAAACTTTACAAAGTTCTATTTGGTTCACCACTGTCTTTAAGAGTTCAATGTATTAACTTTAAATAATTCACTCTTCAATAAGTACAAACATTGTTGCATAAAGACAAACTAAACTTAAATGGTCTTCTCAAAATAATTCTATACACCGAACCAAGCATCTCACATACAATCGTTTATTCAGTAAAGCCTAATTGGAGCCTTAACTTTCTTATTTCCCTCCTTTGAGAGAAACACAAAGTTGTGTATCGCCATGTTAGTTATTCAACAAAACTTCAAAAAGTATATTTAGTTTGACAAAATGTTCGCTACTCTGCATCTCTATCAGATTTTCTATACTAGTATTTTTGTTTGGGTATATATATTCCATTAATTTCACCAATACATATCTACCAACCAACCTTGATATTCATAAGTTGCATTACCTGTTCTTAGTCATTCGATGGACAAGGTCAAATGAGTTTTAATTATATTTAAAATGCAAGTGGGAATAGAATTATGGTCAGTTTTGTCTTTTTCCAACTAGCAGTAAACCCTTGCTAAACATGCTAAAGTTGGACTTCCATTTGATTGGGCGAGATGTATAATTTTCAACAAATGTCAGAGTGGTGACGTTATATCCAATGCCTCGTTTAGAGAGAGTGCCACGTTCTCTGCAGGTTAAGAACCATTGCAATAACTCTTTGAGGGGCCGTCGGTGGCCTTTTGTCTTGAGCCTGTTGCAAGGCAAATTTCTGTCCCTATTCAATATACTTTTATTGTCCAGTGGCAAGTTTCATTGACCTTTTGATGGCATCTATTACAGGACCTACCTATTGTATTTATTGTTAAATTGTTCTTGTCCTGAACATACATGTAATATTTGCCACTGGACATTAAGCAAAATTATAATATTGTAAGTACTTCATGAATTATGTAATTATTATTATGAGGACTCTCAGGAGGATTAGTTTTAACTAATGGGATTGTCCTCTTGAAATAAAGATCATTTATTCCTTCGTTCATTTTTACTAATGTGCTTTGTCTAAGAAATAATTCATGGAAATTTACACATGGCCTGGGCAGTGATATTCGAATTTTATCCTGAGCGTAAGCGAGGGATAAAATTAACGAATATCACTGCCCAGGCCATGTGTAAATTTACAACAAATCTATGGCTTCCATGAATTATTTTGATTCTAATAGGACAAATACAGTAATTAAAAAAACGAAGCGAGGGTGGGTATGCCGTGTGTGTGGCTGTTCTATTTTACCCATGTTAGATAAAGGTAAAAAAAAATCCAATAAATTTGTAGCTTGCATAAATTATTTCTTAAATAACTGCTAGAAAAAATGAGTTTAACGCTTTTAAATCTCAATCAAAATTTAAATTTACATGTTTTTCTCGAAAAGCTACCGTCAAATCCACAGTTGACATTTCGTAACTAAGGAGCAGCCATGTTGACTTGCTGAAATTAGTAAATGTGCGAATAGTGCAATAGAATAAGAAATAAAACAACACCTACCTCAAAACTCCATTTTAATGCAATATTATCCGAATTTGAAGGGTTCACGTAACAGAAGTAGCTTCGACTTTAACGTTTTCATTCGTATGACGTCATGTTTTGAAATGACTTAAATGCACCAAAAACATTAATGGAATTTCGCGGAATTTCATTTTATTTTGATTTCGTACATTTTTTCGAGCTCTAATGCATTAACTCTTTTGTTATGCATCAGAATAAGAATAAAGGTTCTATAGGTTTTTTTTCAATTGTAATTTTTAAACCAGCGAAATGGACAAAGCATTTGCACATAGGTTATTACGATACACATGGATTTACGTGCGAGGTATATTGTAACAGTCATTATTATGTATACCTCTGAGTCTGCGCTAAGCATAGATATATCCAGAATTTTATCACAGTGTTGTTTACAAAGCGAAAGAAGCACGTCATATTATAATTGCCTTTTAAGCTCACCTGGCCCACCTTTTAACTATTACAAAAATCTTCTACTCTGAAACTACAGGGCCAAATTTAACCAAATTTGGCCACAATCACCATTTGGGTATCTAGTTTAACAAATGTGTCCGATGACCCGGCCAATCAACCAATATGGCTGCCATGGCTAAAAATAGAACATAAGGGTAAAATGTAGATTTTGGATTATATCTCTAAAACCAAAGCATTTAGAGCAAATCTGACATGAAGGTTAAATTGTTTATCAGGTCAAGATCTGCCCTGGAATTTTCAGACAAATTGTACAACCCGTTGTCGGGTTGCTGCCCCTGAATTGGTAATTTCAAGGAAATTTTGCAGTTTTTGGTTACTATACTATCTTGAATATTATGATAGATAGAGATAAACTGTAAACAACAATAATGTTCAGCAAAGTAAGATCTATAAATAAGTCAAACATGAACAAAATGGTCAATTGACCCCTTAAGGAGTCCTTTATAGTAAATTTTTAACAAATTTTTGTAATTTTTTGTAATCTTACAAAAATCGTCTCCTCTGAAACTACTGAGACAAATTTAACCAAACTTGGCCACAATCAGCATTAGGGTATATAGTTTTAAAATGTGTTCGATGACCCTGCCTGCCAACCAACATGGCAGACATGGCTAAAAATAGAACATAGGGGGAAAATGCAGTTTTCGACTTATATCTCTGAAACTAAAGCAAAAGTATAACGGTTGCATTATTTCATGCATCAATTGTAAATAAAAATATCAGGTGAGCGACACAGGCTCCTTGGAGCCTTGAGTTGTGTTTCCTTGTTACATATTTGTTTATTGTTATAGTGATTAAGATTATAACACAATGTTGACTGCTGTACCCTAATTTTTGACATTTTTACCTATTATGTGTGTTTGTTTTGTTCACACATCGTTGTCAATATAGTGGAATTTTATACGACTGTCATACAAGGGAGAGGTTAGGTTTAATCTACCATTTTTACATAAGGAAATGCTTGTACCAAGTCAGGAATATGACAGTTGTTATCCATTTGTTTGATGAGTTTGAGCTTTGGATTTTGCCATCTGACAACAGACTTTCCGTTTTCCTCGGAGTTCGGTACTTTTGTTATTTTACTTTTTATTTAAAATATTGTTCAATTATTCCGTGTCGGACTAATGGGGTGTCGGACTAATGGGGAGTCGGAATAACGGGGCTGGTCCCCAACTTTAGGTCTCTTAATGGCACAGAAAAGGCCTCGGTGGCACAAGCTATAGGTCACAAAAACAGATAAAGAGTGAAAATATTGAAATAAACAGATAAATGATATTGGTTAAAAAAAATATAACTGGCTCAGTGACTGTTTACACCTCCAAAGTTACTCTGAGTACACACAAACCTGTGGAGTTGGAATAGTTTTAAGACCTAACATCCACTTAATATATAATGTTCAATGCATTTTGTGAACCTTCATAACAAATTCCTGAAACATTCCACATTTCAACATGTTCAAAGAAATGGAGGCTTTCAACAGTTCAAGTCTAAAGAAAGCAGTAAAACATAAAGATGATTTCAAATTTAACGAATCAAAAATTATGAAGTGTCCTGGTAGATAGACATGCTGACTAATACCTCATTAAATATATCGGGGTCACTCTCCAACATTTATATAATATTGTTTTTGTTTGTTTTGTTGTACAATGAGTTTTGATATGATATACCTGTGGAACTGTAGCTCTTATGGTCCTTTCCAAAGCACACAAGATCAACCCTGGTTTTTGGCGGGGTTCGCATTTACTGGTGTTAATTGCTCAGTCTTAAGTCTTCTATGTTGTGTTTTGTATACTGTTGTTTGTCTTTTGGTCTTTTTCTTTTCTTGCCATAGCAGTGTCAGTTTATTTTCCACATATGAGTTTGAATGTCCCTTTGGTATCTTTCGTCTCTCTTTTACATTCACTGTTTTCTAATTCTAAGCTCACAGGTTTATTTTAAATTTAATTTGTAAAAGTAATTCACCAAAGCTAGGTATAATAATAAACCATTAAGGAGATGATGATGGATGGCTGCTTAATGTCCAGCGGCAAACTGATATGCTTATTCAGGATGAGACCATGTTAATGTAATATGAATATTTACCCAGCTTTGTACTAGACCTGTCACGGAATAGAAGTTCCTTCATAATATAAGTTCCAAATGGAAACAGTATTCTGGAATATTATTTCCACTGGAATAAATATTACAGTAAATGTTTCTAACGGAATAAATGGTATAGAATATTTGTTCCAACAGGAACATATATTATGACATTGTTTATAAGAAAGTTTCCAGTGGAACTTCTGTTAGGCGGAACAAATATACGTTGACAGACCAACACGCTGAGCCAGATTTTTAACATGCTAGTTCACAAGGTAACAGTCTGCAGGAAGACATGTCACCTTACCCGGACACATTATTCTAACTCCATGCCGACCAGTCTTTGCTCTTACTCCTTAATGCCGCGTTCTTAGCGGAGAAGCAGCAAATACCATTTTTTTTAAGCCTTTGGTTTGACCCGACTGGGGTTCGAACCCACAACCTCCTGCACTCAAGGCAAAAAAACTACCACGAGACCAATGAGGCGGTTACCATTAAGGAGATCAAACACATATTAACTATAATACATGAATATTGGCACTGTACATAAACATGATAAAATTACCAATCAACCATCATTAAATTTATTTTAATTTAATACCAATCTATACATCTTGTAGATGAACTTCAGTTACTTGATCATGTAAATGAAGCCAAATATGTCAACAACCATAAAACTGATCAATTAATTTTTATACGACCGCAAAAAATTTTTGCGGTCATATATTGGTATGACATTGGCATCGTCGTCCGAAGACACATTGGTATTCGCACAATAACTTTAGTTTAAGTGAATGGATCTCTATGAAATTTTACCATAAGGTTCAATACCACAAAAGGAAAGTTGGGATTGATTTTGGGGGTTATGCTACCAACAGTTAAGGAATTAGGGGCCAAAAATAAGCATTTTTCTAGTTTCCAGACAATACCTTGTGGAACGGTGTATGGATCTCTCTGAAAGTTTCCATACCAAAAAGGAATGGTTAGGATTTGCTTTGGGGGGTCATGGCTCAAACCGTTTAGGAATTAGGGGCAAAAAAGGGGGAAAAACAAGGGTGTCCTGGTTAATGGACAAATACTTTAGTACAAAACATAATTTAAAGCAGTGTAAGGGAGGTAATTCAAATACATCATTTGAATTACCTCCCTTACACTGCTTTTAAATTATGTATAAAGTAATGGTTAATGAACAATTAAGACAACTTAAAAGCAGTGTAAGGGATCAGGAGGTAATCCAAATACAATGTTTTGATTACCTCCCTTACGCTGCTTTTAAATTATGTTTACAGAAATGCATATTTATAAAGGAAGACCAGTAAAAATATCTGCTAATGTTGCATCTTATTTTTTTTACAAAAAAATCCATCTGAAAGATTTGACACCATATTTTAAATTCTATTATAAAATAGATTAAGTTAGCACTATGGGTAGCAAAATGGGTAATTATGGTTGCAAACTCCATTGGAAATTTGGATTGATATTATGTTTGCAAAAAAAAAAGTGTGTGTCTGGGGGGGGGTAATATGCAACAGCATAGTGTAATGCACAAAGGAAAAAAAAAGGGGGGGGGTAAATTTTTTATTCTTTTTTGTGGGGGGAGAGGGGGTCAATTCGCAACAGCAAAGTGTATTGCACAAAAGCAAAAAATTTAATATAAATTCTAATCATATAACCAATTCTAAGTTCTTTGACTACAGTTATTCTGTGTCAGAAACCTTTTATGTGTCAAATATTTAATTACAATCCAAATTCAGACCTGTATCAAGTGCGAATATTGCGTCCATTTTTGCCCCAACTGTTCAGGGTTGGACCATTGCGGTCGTATCCAGCTGGGCTCGGCGAAGCAATTTATTTAAATATTTCTTTCCTCCCATTTATTGTTTTACCTTTAGTTTATATAAAATCAAATACCATTTCATTATAAAGATTGTATAAATAAGGGTACCCAGACTCTGTAGGCAAAGGAACCCTGGGAAAATGGACCTGGGGTCAATGTGTTGTGTGGGTAAACGAACCCAATACCCCTCATTTTCTAGCACATTGATTTAAATCTCCAGCACAGTGTGCCGGTCTAGTACAAGACAGAGTTCATATTCATATCATAATTAGGCCTAAAAATATCTGTTTTCTTAATATGTTCTCCTGATTATGCATGTTATAGTTGCCACTGGACATTAAACACCAGCATTGGTCTTCATCAAACATTAGACAATTCAGGTTATGGTTTTATGCCCAGCCATAGGATAGTAGGGGCATCATGTTTTCCAGTAGCTCTGTCTGTTTGTTCATCCCTTTTCAGTTTAAAAATTTGATTTGAGGTCAAATGTAGAGTATTATTTTACAGACATATTAATTGGAGACTATGCAGTGAGTAAGACAACTTAGAGATAAAGAGAGAACCGAAACCAATAACATTCATTGTGCAATTTGAGTTCTAATTTGAATTACCAGGAAGAAGAAAAAGAAAGATGTAATAAGACTGATGTAATATGTAACTATGGACAGTACTGATCCATTCTCCAATATCACAGGTATTTCAGGTTTAATTGTGTGGGCAGGACCGTAACAAATTTTGATATATTTTAGGCCAAAAAATTATTATTTTTTTTGATTTTAGGATTTGCATGGTGCAAGGACGTGTGATATGATTGGCATTGAGATAGATTTGATTTTGATTTTTGGTGTTTTAACGACACTTTTAAGCACCGCTTTTAGGCTATTTCGTGGCGGCCAGTTTTTATTGGTGGAGGAAGCCGGAGTGCCCGGAGAAAACCACCGACCTTCAATAGGAAAACTGACAATCCTAGTCAATTAAGATTGCAGTCGAGTGCACCTGCACAGCGGTATTGAGATAGAAGGAAGGATGTAAACAACTATTGGTCAATGTTTGGCCTTCAATAATGAGTACATCACATACCATATAGTAAACTTTTAAAGGCCCTTTGGTTATGTTGGTATCCTGCCTACATTTTGGCATTGTATATATACACAAAAAGAACAGGATGGTCAGAGGGACAGACTTACCTGACTTGACTGTTTATCATACCATTATGTGCAGTGGAGCATGTATAAAAATTGATGTGGTATGAGACATCAAGATAACAAAAAAAATAAGAGATGATAGTAAACAGTGTACGTACACTGGTAAATGAGGGTCTGGATGGGGTTAACAGAATAGAGAATAATAGTCCAAACATACAGAATAAATGTAAAGGGCCAAGAAAATAATGAATAGAGAATAATTGGCCAAAAAAATAATGAATAGAGAATAATTGGCCAAAAAAATAAAATAAAGAAAATGACCTGAATTTAAAGAATACAGAAATGAAGTACCCTCATATATTACATAAAAGTTATTCCACACCTTAATTTGTATGGTACTGAATTAGAGAAAAAAAAACAATATTCTTTGCATTTATATCCTGTATATTTTCATTTTAGAAACAACAGTTTCAGCTTCTAATACAAGCAGTACACCGCCATACTGGAAACACCATGATGATGATAATTCGTCTGGTCATGGAATTAAAGACCATACAGTATTTGTATCATTGGTTGTCATGGGGATTATAGTGCCAGCCATCTTTATTTTTATCTTTACTATGATATGTATTAAACATAGGAAAAGGAAACAGACAAGAAGGTAGGATTCTGGAGTCGGTTTCACAAAAAAACTTACGACTAAGATTAATCGTAAGTCATGAACAATTCAGTATACTTACGACCAATCTTAGTCGTAAGTTTTTTTGTGAAACCGACTACTGTCATTTACTTAAAAATGAATATATTATATGAATAAAAGCAGATGTGGCTATGTATCAATAAAAAATTGACCAAACGGCACAAATTAGGCTAAAAATGAAATTCTAATATGACGTCCTTATTTCCCTTTGTAAACAAAGCTGTGTTCTAATTAGCACAAAATATATTTGACACATGCGCACAAACTTACTGTTTACCTCGCTAACACTCTGTGTAAAATATCGACAAATATATTGCCTACCCATGTTAAAATGAGCATAGAGCATGACATGAAGGAATTATTTCTTAATTAAAATTGTTTAATGTTGCCTCTTTTATGACTCAAATCGTTTCAAATTCTTTTTTTAAAAATTTGTTTAGTGCTCTAACAGCATTTTCTTGTCTAAAACATGTAATTTATGTTGTTGGCAAAAAACAAATGAAATCCCTTCCTTCCTACCCAACCCTATAGGGCCTTGTAGGCAACATCAGACAAGGAATTTGTTAAGGGTGGCCTAGCCTAAAGAATAGTACAGTTTATAACAATGGACAGGTGTCTATACAGTATACCAAGCGCTAAATCATCCAACCTACATGTGAAATTTATTAATGAATTAAACAGAAACTGTTAAAGATCTGCCATCAATACAGAATTCTCCAAATAACCCAAACATTAAGGGCTATTCCAGAAAACAATGGACAGGGCACTTTAGAGGCACTACCTTAAAATTTTCAAAGGTGCCTGTAGATTCTCATGTTTTGACCATAATTTGCATTATACATAGGGAAAAATTCAATGGGAGTTGAAACGAATAGTCTTGGAAGATCCCATGTCTATTTTACTGGAATAGCCCTAAGGTTGGAAGTTGTCTACCTTTGATCAAAATCTTCAACTTATCCGTTAGGCAAATTATGTTACTCCTTTCCTTTCTGTCAGCTGACTAAGAAAGCTATATATATATGTATGAGGAATTGATAGTGGTATCATTGTGAATATTCTTAAAAGATTTTAGTGTACTGCAAATTCTCAAGAGGGGGTCGGTCAAGGAATTTGAAGTAATTTATAATCTTTATGTTTTTATAGATCGACCATGTTATTAAGAAATGGTCCTGAAATTCCCATGGACGATATTCCTCTGTCAATCAGAACAAATTTAGAAAATGGCAGACTGTAAATCATGGATTTCATCAAAGCAGCCATCTTGAAAGAAAGAGATTGCAGTATATTAATGTCAGAAAAAATGTAAAATATCATGAAAAATGTAAAATTTTATAGTGTACTCATGAGCTAAATGTATAAATTTTATAGTGTACTCATGAGTTAAATATAAAAATTTTATACTATACTCATGAGCTAAATGTAAAATGTTTATACTGTACTCATGAGCTAAATGTAAAAACTTTATAGTGTACTCATGAGCTAAATGTAAAAATTTTATAGTCTACTCATGAGCTAAAATATATTGCATGTACTGCTTTCAAAACCAGGATGTACCATTTAATATGATGTTTTTTTTATTATTTTTTTTGTGATTTCTAGTCTACATCTATAAGCAATATTTATTCAAATCTAGCTTCTACCATTTTCATTTATTTTAAGCTATTCTAGTTCTGAACATTTTATCGAAAGCTGTTATTCTATGCACTGTGTGTAAACTTACCATACAGACTCGATCATGCTTCAGCTCATTTATCTAAGATTTTAACATATTTTTAAAGTACTAATCTAAAGGTCCTAAAACTTTTTGAAGACCTTCACATTTGTTGTTGCCCAGATTTTTGTAGCGAAAATAGATTTTTTTTTACGTCTTTTAGTCAATTAAATGGGGTATTTTTTCTTAGTGTCCACTAAATAACTACAGCTAGACTTCATGGACTTTCACCTGTTATACAGTCTTTCTACTGGCAACTAGTTAATTCAATTGTAATTTGATGATCTACTGTTTAATAAAAATTTCTTTTTGGAAATAAAAAAAAGGCTCAGGTGAAAACAGGTAGAACTAAGTTAAACTCACATAAAGGAAGCTGTTTCACCTGAGAAATAATTATTTCTACACCTAAAAAATATTTAAATCGCTTGAGGTAAAATTTAAAATGTACTGGAAACTATACATAATTATAAGGAACAAACCCTGGAGTGAAAATATTTTGTTTAGATTCATCTTTGAACGTCTATCAACTGTGGATCCATTTATTTTTGTGGGTACCAATTTTCATTGATTGAGGGAAAATTGCTTTTTCATGGATTTTTTATATTAAGGTTTTGTCAAAGTCTGCATACAAATTACAAGCCTATGAAAAATTGTATTTCGTTAAACATTTATAAGGAGGTGTGGTCATCTTTAAATTACAAGCCTATGAAAAATTGTACTTCATTAAACATTCAAATGTGTGGTCATCTTTACTCATGACATCAGTTAAAATTGATATCCCACAAACTTATCATGAATCCACAATATTATTTGTTATGTTTTAACATTAATGTCTATGGTTGTGAAACTTACTGTACCTAGCTAGCTATTTATTGTAGAATTGTACTTATCGTTGCTAGCTATTGTAGCAGTGGAGACAATTTTTTTTTGTAGAATTGTATTAATTGGTGCTAGCTATTGTAGCAATAAAGATTTTTTGATAGAATTGTATTATTTGGTGCTTGCTGTTGTAACAAAATTAAATGATTGACTTGATTTTATATTATCTTTGGTAATAATAAGGGTCCAAGGTAGACCAAATCTTAATTTTAGCTTTTATAGGATTTTTCTCTTTATTGAGAATTCTTAAAATTATAATCAGTTATCATAACAGTAATTAATAATTTAAAAGCAGTGTAAGGGAGGTAATTCAAAGTAGTTTTTGAATTACCTCCCTTACACTGTAATTTGTACTTAAATAATTGTCAATTAACAAGGACACCCTTGTATTTTCTCACTTTTTTGTCCCTAATTCCTAAAAATGGATAAGAATTACAAGATTTTTTTTGCCATTTCAGGAAATGCTTCACACAAAAAAATCCTGTCATAATTTTGATTGCAGTTTTGTTTCTTAAGACTTGCAGTTTTTGCAATATAATAAAAACATTGCAAACATTTTTGAATTTATAGTAATTATTAAAACAACAGTTATAAAGTATTGTTTGTTGTTAAGGTTTTAGTGCCGTATATGATTGTTAACAAATATATTATCTATTTCTTAACATTTTTTAATTATTTGATTTTTAAAATATTTTTTGTATGTAAAACACCAAATTGATCTGAAGTGGATGTTAGTTTGTAACCTTTATATTATTGTGCTACACTACACTTTAGGTGGAGTTTGCTATTTCAACCTGTCCAAGGTGGTCAAACCTTTTAGATGTCCCATGCCTGTGCTTACCCTTTAGTGTGTAATGCCATTTCTTTTTTCAATCATAAGATTTGATTATACAATACCTTGGAAAAATAAGCTATGGTATTCAATACTTTTACTGAATATTAAGTTAAATTTGAGTGAACATTAGTAGACTTCCCATGGTGGGCAGTTGAAATAACCAATCCACGAGAAGTGTAGTGTATACCAAAGTGCCTTGTGTAATTTATTTGTTATTGTTGATATGCCTTTTCTGTTTAGTGAACTTTTACATTGTATACATTTGGTTAGTCAAGTCAGAGCATCAAAACCTATTAATTTGTGTCAGTATTAAAGGGCATATAAATCAATAAAAAATCTTATCTATAAAAAAAAAATAGTCAAGGTTATATTTGTTAGAATCATCATGGCTTCATCTCTGATTTTTTTTAAATATGAAATGATA